TCTTCCTCCAGGGCAAGGTCGGGGAAGGGGTAGGAGGGCGGGTCGGGCAGCCCAGGGGGCGGGTCGGGAGGGGAAAAATTTAGAGAGGAGCAGGAGGACGAGGGGAAGAAGGCGCGAGGCGATCCCGCGGCAACGATCGGAGGTCCGATGCAATCGATCCGATCGATCAATGAGCCTGTCCCGCCGTCGGGATCAGCAGAGACCCCGTTGGCGTTGGGCGCGCGAGGCCGTCCTATGGACAACCCCGTCGTCGTTCCCAGGGAAGGTCGGTTGGGGTCGGTCGTCTCAGCGGAAGGGCGTGCCTCTCTATGGCCACTGCTCCCAGGGCCACTCGTGTCTCGCTCTCTTCCTCCCGGCTGAATGCCAGTCTCTTCTGTGAGGTTGGCGCGAGGCCATCCCGCGGCAGCGATCAGAGGTCCGATGCGATCGATCCGATCGAAAGGGGAACCTGCCCCGACGGCTGGATCAGCAGAGACGCTGTTGGCATTGAGCTCGTGCGGCCGCCCCATGGACAGCCCCGTCGTCGTTCCCAGGGAAGGTAGGTTACGGTCGGTCGTCTCTCTCTGCGGCCACTGCTGCCAGGCCCACCCGTCTCTCGCTCTCTTCCTCCTGGCTGCAGGCCAGTCTCTTCTGTGAGGTTATCGGCGCGGAGGCTGGGCGAGGCTCTGGCGTCCGCGCCCGTGTCTCCAGGGAGGGGGGCGGCGGAGTCAAGGCGGAAGCCGTTGGACCTGTTGGGGCTGCTGTCTGCGCCTGCCGCACGGCCTTCGGCGCGCCTTCCCAGGGGTGGTCCCATTGCAGGGCTGGCCCCGTCAACGTCGGAGTCGGCGTGGTCGGTCGGTCGCCCGCAGCTGGCGCGAGGGCCCCCCTGCTGGGGGGGGGGCCCAGCACGGGAACACTCGGAGTCCCAGGAGGGTCGCCGTCGTCTCCGATCGTGGTCACGGCCTCTGCGCCTCTCTCTAAATCCATTGGCGCTGTCTCTGGATCTCGAGCTGAAGGCTCGTCACTTCTCTGGTTAACCGATGCGCCTTGGACCCTCGAGCTGAAGGCTCGTTCCATGTGAGAATCTCGAGCTGAAGGCTCGTCATGTCCGCAACCGTCCGATTGGGGGGCGGGTGGCCGACGAAAGTCTTCGGGATTGCAAGAGGGCCCAGGGAGTTGACTGGTCGCAGCGCCGCCACCGGTGCCGAACAGTCCGCTCGGAGCGTCACGCGCTGCAGGATCGCTCAAAGCTGCTGTGTCACTGGGAGCTCCTCGGGCTGAAGGCCCATTCTCTACGTGCGCAGTGCTGTCAATTCCAGGAAGGGCGGCGGGCGCGCGGCGACTCGCGTCGCCGCCGTCGTCTCCGTTCGTGGTCACGAATGCGCCTCCCTCTAGGTCCATTGGCACTGTCTCTGGATCTCGAGCTGAAGGCTCGACACTTCTATGGTTAACCGATGCGCCTTGGACCCTCGAGCTGAAGGCTCGTTCCGTATGAGAGTCTCGAGCTGAAGGCTGGCTGACGAAAGTCTTCGGGGTTACAGGAGTGCCCAGGGAGTTGACTGGTCGCAGCGTCGCCGTCGGCGCCGAACAGTCCGCTTGGGGCGCCCCAACCTGCGGGATCGATCTCTGCTGTCTCACTGGGAACTCTTCGGGCTGAAGGCCCATTCTCAACGTGCGCAGTGCTGTCAACTCCAGGAAGAGCGGCGGGCGCGCGGCGACTCGCGTCGCCGCTTATGGCCACCTGCTCAGCGGCACTCCCGACGACCGTTGGTGCCGTCTCCGTTCCTCGAGCTGAAGGCTCGTCGCCTCTGAGGTTGCTCGGTGCGCCTTGGAGCCTCGAGCTGGAAGCTCGTTCCTCGTTCCGTGTAATCTGCTATCTCACAGGTCGCTCCAAGGGCTGAAGGCCCATCTTCTATGTCCATTCTGCTGCATCCGCGGGGGGCGGCGGGGGCGCGGCGATAGCCATCAAGCCCTCTGTCTACGTCCGCGGGGGAAGTCGGCTGCGCAGCGTGGGCATGGGTCTCCGAGGTGGAAGGGTTGGCCCCTTCGCAGCTGAGGGCAGCCTCTCTCAGAATGGGAGTATCAAGGGGGGGGCGCTCGGCGGGGCGAAGGCGCAAGCCTCTGTGGTGCGAGTCGGGTCCGAGGGCAGGCGTGCGCCCGTCTCCCCGCCTGTCGCACCCGCGGCCATCCTCTGGGGCCCCCACCCTAGCCCCCCCGTCTTCGTCGTTGAGGCACCTGGGTCGATCGTCAGGGGCATGTCTCTGTCGATCGTCCGCTCGGGGCCCGCGCGACCCTGGGTTCGGCGGGGAATTCGCTTGCTCTGGAGTGGGGCCCTCGCCCCCCGTGATCCTGGCATCGCCGCGAGCGATCCAGCTCTGCCCTGCACCGCCAGGAGAGAAGGAGATTGGGCGCCCAGCAATGGGCATGGGAAGGGTAGGGGTGAGGGAGGGGGATAAGCTAGGCGGGAGGGCGTCATGTCTGTCGTTGTCAATCCCAGGGAAGCGACTGAAGGTCGCTATGTCAGTGTGTAACGCGGGGTTGAACGTGTCTCCCCGTCTTCCCGTTTGGCTGAAGGCCATCGGTTCTCGTGCGCACGCAACGCCGCCAGAAGCGCTCACGTCCCAGGGGGCAAGGGGCGACGGCTGCCCTGGCGGAGTGGTGTCCTGTGATCCGGCGGGGGGGGCCTTGTGTCTGCCGGTCCGTTGGCCACGCAGTCGTCCACTGGCGTCGCAGTCGTCGTCGCCCCAGGGAAGTCAGGATCGTCGTCGATCGGTTCCCCATCCATGCTAAGCCCGACCTGGGCCGAGCTGCTGCGTGAAGCCGAAGAAGAGGAATCCAGGGGGTCTGCCATGGCCGCCCGGGGGGGGCGCGCGGCCCGCAAAACTCCTAGGGGAAGTCCCCTTGAGCTGGGGGGCCCGGCCCTGCCGGGGCCCAGAGACGGCTTGAGCCAAGGGGGGTACGGGCTGGTGGGGACACGCGAAGCGTCTAGAATTACCACTGCTACTGCAACGTCGCAGCTCCACAACCCGCGAAACATAAGACATCGAAGAATACCCCCTTCCAAACGAGCATCCGGGCAAAGGGTGGTGACAATGTCCTAAGATGGGCCTGCGGCATGATCTGAGCTCTTGGATGGAATGTTCGATCTGTGCGAAGTGCCTGTGGCGACGCTGTGACACAAGCTATGCTGGAGTTTCCAGCGTCCTCCAAGTCGGAGGCATGCAGCTCTAGCTGCAGCTGCGGCTGCAGGCTACGAAGTACCCCGCGCTCTAGCTGCAGCCATGCATCCTACCGAATTCACGCGCGAGACGCCTCGATCTGCAGCGGTGACGATAGCCCGCCGCTCCGCGGCGGCACGGCGCGAACGCCGCTGCGCCTGCCCTGCCCCGGATGTTCAGAAACCGGAGGCCAGCGCCGAGCGCGCCGACCGCGCGGGCAGGCTCGCCCTCGCGGCCCGTGCCCCGAGGCCTCGCCGCGACATCCCGCGCCGCTCAGCGGCGGGCCCACTCAGTACAGGCGCTGCGCCACCGGCGGCACAGCAAAAACATAGATCGGTCGCGGAGGAGAATGAGAGGTGGAGGAGGAGGAGGAAGAGGAGGAGGAGGAGGAGGAGGAGGAGGAGGAGGAGGAGGAGGAGGGGGGGGCGAGGAAAACACTGGCTTCAGAAGGCCAACAGCGGCGGCCCCAGAAGGCGGCCGCAAAAAAGTTGCAGTGGCGCACCGCGACGCCACTCCTCCGCATCCACGCATCAACATCCTCCTCACCCTCCCGAGGCCGGCAGGGAGCACTGAAACCCTCGCGCCCACCGAACAGGCGCCCAGAGCGGCGTGCGAGGGGTCGCGCTGCGCCCGCGGCCGGCAGGCGCCCTCCAAAGTAAAATTGTGGCGTGATCCTCCTGGAGTTGCAGCTCCCACTTCCCTGTCAATTCTCCTCCTCCCCCCACCTCCCCCCAGCGCGCGCCTCCGGCGCGCGCAGAACAAAAACAGCAGCAGTGCCCCGGCGTCCGTGGCCAGGAGAGCAAGTCCGAAGCTGCGCTGCGCCGTGGCCGCGTGGCCAACCAAAACCCCAGCGCCGCGCGCTGGCTGACTGACACGCCGTGCTCTGCACGGCCGCGCGCTTGCGTGTGTTGGCAGGCGCGGGGGGGGGCACGCGACACGCAGCCTTCCCCGACGCCCACGGACGGCGGATGCCCCTCGCGGGCGACAGACTGCGCCGACGGCTGCACCAGGGGCGGATAGCCCCCAAGGAGACGGAGAAGCAGGAGGAGGAGGAGAATCGAGCACTGCACGGGGCGCCTCCAGCGGGGCGCGCGGCGCCGCCCTCTCAGTCCTCGCGGGCGGCCACGCCGGGCAGCCTCAGCGGCCCTCCCCGCCGGCGGCCCCGGAGCGGCCGCAGGGCGGCGGCACCGGCGCCGGGGCGAGCACCCTGCGGCAGCAGAGGGGGCAGCACTGGCGCTTGCCCCGGGCGTGGGCGCCGCCCTGCGTCAGCCACCGCGCCGCGCGCGCGGGGTGGAAGGCGTGCTTGCACGGCAGCTCCACCAAAAGAAAGGTAGTGCAAGGACCAGCATGACAAAGTACTCGGCCCTCATGAAAACCGCTAGCGGGTCGGCTTGACCTGCTCGGTCGGCGTGAAATTCTCCCGCACGATGCATGCACCAAGACGGACTGATGCCACCAGCATGCGAGATCTCTCCTCTGAATTCGGCGATGCTGAGTAACATACCCAGCCGCTCTTGCTCGTAACTCGGGGCACCGTGGCCCAGAACGTACTACTCAGCTTCATCTCACGAGCCAACTCCTTTCTCATGTCCTCAAAGTGCGGGCATTCCTGGAAAAGATGGCGGAGGCTCGGGAGCGGACAGCTGCACCACTTACAACATTTGTTCACCTGCACTCTGGTATACGTCTGACCAGCACCACTCCGAAAGATCGTCACACTGTGCAACTCGTCAGCGCTCAAGCTTTTCATGTATCTCTGATATATCTGGCTACTACTCAAATCGACATCAACGTCATCGATACCTTCCACATCCTTTCGTGTGAGATGTACTGCACGTAGGCAAGCCACTCGAGCCACGGCACGTACTGCATGGGCCCCGCCTGGGGCCTCTGTCCAGAACTTATCCTGGGAATCACGTACTTGGGCAGTCACACGGAGCACTCGAGGGTCAGCACCAGGAGGGACCCGAAGACAAACTCCCCATTCAGCATTATGATCGATATACTCAAGGTGTATCTGTGCATAGTGGGCCACAAGGGCCTTCCTCAAGAACTCACTCTGGATCAGGTTCTCGGAGCGGACGGATTTCATGATCTCGGAGCGGACGGTTCTCGGCAGCTCCACCAAGACCTCGTCGGGGCCGATGTCGTCGAGGCAGATCGAGCACTGGTCGACGCCGCCGTCCCCGGCGACCACGTTGGGGAGGCTCGAAAACAGACTGTCGGCGCTGGGGCCGTCCTGCTAGAGCCGGATGATGAAGGAGCTCTTGTCTCCGCTGACCTCCTGCGGCACGACACTCCTGCCCATGGCGGCGATGTCCTCGAACCACTTGGGCCCCGCGGTCGGCGGCGGCTGGTCGGAGACGGTGAGGGTCAGCACGCCCGGCCTCTTGAGCGACTCCACGATGGCCCAATAGCCCCTGGCGCCGTTGACGCCGGTGATGACGAGCCCGGGGTAAACCCGCTCCTTCGGGTTGGCCTCGTTCCAGCCGTCGAGAAGGCCGCCCTCGCGGATGTTGAGGATGACCGCGCCCGTGTCCGTCATCCCCAGGGCGGCCCCCAGGACGTCGCCCTCCCACGCGTGCAGCGTCAGGCTCCGCTCGCGCCCGGCGGCCCTCGCCGCGGGCGGCGGCGGGCCCTGGGAGGCGCCGCTGCGTCGGCGCGGGCCCCGGGGCACGGTGGCCCGCCGCCCGGCGTGCTCTCCCGCGGGGAGGACGGAGGACAGGTCGGGGTGGTGGCTGCGGCGGGCGGGGTTGAAGCTCTCGAGGATGGCCGCGCCCGCCCTGCGCAGCGGCCGGAGGGCGGCCATGCCAGCCCGCCAGCAGCCGCCCCCCTTCGGAGCGCGGCTCGATGCCACGCGCGCGCGTCCGCAGGGTGCCACGCGGGGCTCCAGCCGCGGGGCGCGCCCGGCGCCCGGGGTGCCCCGCGCGAGGCCCCCCCCGTGCCAGGCGGCTTGAGCCAGGGGGGCTACGGATGGTGGGGATACGCGAAGCGTAAAGAATTGAGCCACGTCGTGATGGACTCGAAGGGAAGCCACTTCCCTTTGATCCCTTCCCGCTGGGCGGGGGGGGGGGTACGGCCGACCAGCAGCATTTCCCGGCCGCCCCCCCCGCCCCCTTTGGCACCCCCGCCCCCTTTCGAACGTACGTTTGCGCAGCCCATGCTGTTGAATCCTTCGTATCAAATTCTAAAGGACCTTCAACGCACAGCAGAAACACAAAAATTACAGAAATAACACATGTGTTGTTTTTGCTGGCACTTTGTTTAAACTTAGCCTCGCCACCAGACTTGTTAAAAGTAAAGAGATTTTACATGGTGTTGCTATTTTGCCTGATCCCTGGTTTTCCAGATCCTGGGCTCAAATGAGAAAAACCCGGATCATGGGGTCAAACATTGTGAAAAATGCTAGTTTGCCTGATCCCTGGATTCCCAAATCCTGTGATCAAGTGAATCCCAGAAACCAGGGACCAGGCAGAATAGCAGAAATTGTTGTCTCGTATAGAAAAGTGTTGCTATTTTGCATGATCCCTGGTTTCCCAACTCCTGAGCCTCAGTGAAGAATCCACGAAGCCAGGGAAATGGGCAAAACAGCAGAAGCCTTGAACCAATATGTATATATATATACATATCTATATATAACCAGATATATATGTGTTGTTTGCTATTTGCCAGATCCCTGGATTCCCAGATTCTCTGCCCAAGTGAATCACAGAAACCAGGGATCGAGCAAAATAGCATTATATGTTGAAACACAATATATATATATATATAAAACTGATGCTATGTTCCCTGATCCCTGGTTTCCCAAATCCTGAGCTCCAGTGACGAATCCCAGGAGCCAGCGAAACAGGCAACATAGCAAAATTTGTGCAATCAAATTCAATGGTATTGAAAATTTTGGTATCTTGTCTGATCTCTGTATTCCCAGATCCTGTGCGCAAGTGAATCTCAGAAACCAGGGATCAGACAAAATAGCAGAATTCAGACATTCAAAATATGTTGAGACGTAAAATGCTATGTTGCCTGACCCCTGGATTCCCAGATCCTCTGCTCAATAAAGTGAATCCCAGGAACAAGGGATGAGGCAAAATATCAGTTGCTTGCTTCTTTGTATAAAAAAATGGTTGCTATGTTGCCTGATCCCTGATTCCCCAAGAAGCCTGGGCCCCAGTGACGAATCCCAGGGTCCAGGGGAAATACGCATAATAATAATAATGATAGTAGTAATAGTTACCTTTATGTATATATGTATATGTATACCTATATACTATAAGAAATAATCGTGTACTATGATGCTTGATGTCTGGATTCCCAGATCCTGGGCCCAAGTGAACCCCAGAGACCAAGGATCAGCACAAATAGCAGACTGCGTAAAGATTTTAAATTATTAATACAAAAAAAAAGGTTTGCTAGTTTGCCTGGTCCGTGGATTCCCGGGCCATGGGTTCAAGTGAATCCGATAAACCAGGGACCAGGCAAAATAGCAGAATTGTTTAGATGAATTGCTATGTTGCCCGACTCCTGGTTCCCCAAATCCTGGGACCCATTGCAGAATCGCAGGAGCCAGAGAAACAGGCAAACTAGCAGATATAATGCAAAGGTTTTGTAATGCAAAGAGTACAGACACCACGACAAAACTCTCTAAAGCTGCTGAAGCTGCTGTCATGCATCCCGGGCCTTTTCATTCCTAAGAAACGCGCGACCACTCTTACTTGACAATGTGATTGAACAAAACGACGCCTTCCTATCTCGTTGTTTTAGTCGGTTGTTCGCATATTATGACCGTTGCCTCTTCCATTACACAGCGTGGTCAGTCGAAGCGGTGCCCGCACCACCGTCGTAGAATACGCAGGTATCTAGTATGTGTTATGTATGCATGCTGGTGCGCATGCATAATCGACTCTGTGCGTGTGCGTGTGCATGTGTCTATATATAGAGACGTATACAAGTGTATTCGTGTTTACAAATGCACAAGAGCGGGGCGTATACGCACAGTCATGCAACCATGTACATGCATATGTATGTATGTATACATATATGCGTAAACCCATGTACATCTATATATATATATATACATGTAGATATGCAAACACAGATGTGCATCATGGTATAACCAATACCCAACATATCTATATTCAAATGTCAAATACCCAAGTGTAAACGTGGTACACAGTTGTATACGGTTTAATACGTTCTTGCCATGTATGACGCGTTCTTCACATTAGTGTCTCTGCGACGGTGTACTACCGCAAATCGTTGTCCCAGTTTGGTGTGTCTGACTTGTCGTGCCTGTGACGGTTTACTGGCGCAAATGGGCGTCCCAGCCTGGTGTGTTTGCAACGGTTTATCGACATTAGTGTGCCTGCAACGGCTTACTGACGCAGCTCGGTATCCCAGTTCGGTGTGCCCTTATTTGTCGTGACTGCGACGGTGGACTGACGCAAATCGGTGTCCCAATTTGGTGTCCGTAATGGCTTATCGACATTAGTGGGTCTCCGACGGTTTATTGACGCAAATCGGTGTCCCAGTTTCGTGCTTCTGACTTGTCGTGCGTGTGACGGTCTGCTGACGCAAATCGGTGTCCCAGTTTGGTGCGCCTGCTGTGGTGTATTGACGTGTTGCCTGCCACAGTTTACTGACGCAAATCGGTGTCCGAGTTAGCTGCGTCTGGTCCTAAGGAGTACTGGGCCTAAGGAGTACTGGTTTTAGTGAGTACTGGTTCTAAGGAGTACTCGTCCTGGGGAGCAGTAGTGCTAGGGAGTACTGGGCCTAGGAGGTGCTAGTCCTAGGGAGTACTGCCCCTAGGAGTACCAGTCATAGGGTGCGCTGGTCCTAAGGAGTACTAGTCCCACGGAGTACTACTCCCACGGAGTACTAGTCCTTGAGATTATTAGTCCTAGGGAGTACCCGTCCTAGGGGATACTCGTCCTATGGAGTATTCGTCCTACTGAGTACTCGTCCAACGGAGTGTGTACATATTTACATGCACACATACAAGCTAATGCCATATAATGTCGAACATCTAATGTCAGGTAATATCATATACTACAATCTAGCACTACATGGCAGTACATACACCATACGAAATTTACTGCACTAAAATAATATATTTAGCTAAAATATGATGTGACATGTTATAATACAATACATTGGAATACAGTGTAGCAGTATGTATATAACCATAAAAGAATATAATGTATACGAAGTACAGAGGTAGATGGTAATATTGATACTATGCCATGGAACATCAATACAAATCTTGGTACGCATCATTATGAAGGAGGGAGGAAACGGAGAAAGAAAGACGAGGAGCTAGCGTTGGAGGAGGTGGAGGAGGAGAACGAGGAGGAAGAGGAGGAGGAGGAGGAAGAGGAGGAGGAGGAGGAGGAGGAAGAGGAGGCTGAGGAGGGCCATGGGGGGTGCTCTGGAGCTGCTGAGGCTCCCGCGGGGCCATGCTTCGGTGCTCCCTGGGCCTCATGGGGTGTCCTGGGGGGGCCCTGGGTGTTTGGGGGGCATTCCTGGGGGGGGGGGGGGGGCAGGGCGCAGGGGGCACCGCTGGGGTGGCGGCAGAGAGGCCCGCCGGCGGCGTCGGAAGCCATGCGAACGACGGAATGGCAACGCCCTGCCCACACGGGCAGCACGCCGCCGCAGCGGCAGCAGCAGGGCTTCGGCGAGACGGGCGGGCCTGTCCACATCGATCGGTTCGATGGGCTCGCGCGGCATCGGTCTCGAGCCGTCCGGCGGCGGCTTCGGCCTCGGCGTGGTCCCGGAAATCGCAACCCTGGCCAGGGAAGGAGAGAGGGAGGCGCCCCTGGGGGCCGTTGGTGCCAGACGACCCACACCTGTGAGTCCTGTACCCCGGCGGTGCGCAGGGCGTCAGCCCAGAACACGCCGAGGGTGGCGAGCATATCGGCCGCCTTGTTCAGGCTGCGACGCACGGCCTGCCAGGTGATGGCCCAACCCCGGGTCACCAAGGGGCGAAGGCCTTGCTCCATCTACGCGGCCAGCGGCAAGCGCCTGTAGCGCCCAGTCCCCGCGCCGTAGCGCACGGCCGGCAGGTTGTCTCCTAAGATCCGGACTGCGCGGATCGGCGGGTGCACGCAGATAAGCGCGTCCAGCCCCGCCTGGCAGCCAGTGACTTCAGCAGTCTGGGCATTGTCACTTGATGGGGAGTGCGAGGACGCACGGTGCGCTCAGCTGGGCTGGGCCCCAGTCTACCGGATGGAGCCAGATGGTGGCTCGGGCCCCAGCCACGGTTGGCCGGCCTGCAATCGATCTAGCGCCACCGTCGAATGTCACTTCGAGGGGCCATTGGGCTCTGCCCTGGTCGGGGATTGGTGAGCGCGGGACAACTAATCACCTCGTCACAGGCGCCGAATGCGCAGGTGGAGCGGGAGTTCGGCAGTGTCGTCGGCATGCCCAGCGGAATGCTGCCGTCGAGGCGGCGGTGGCACCCCGGCTGCAAACACGGGGGCCCCCATCCGACAACACGCACCCATAGCCCTCTCCGATCCTCCTATGGGTACTCCAGATTTCGTAATAAAGGGAGGGGGGTCTCATTTCGGGGGGGGGGTCACCCGAGTTGGCCCTGACCCGAGTTACCCCGGATGGTTCGGGGCTCTGGACGCCCGAACTATCCGGGGTAGCTCGGGTCCGGGGTAGGTCGGGTTCGGGATCCCGACAAAACCAACCCGAGTTGGCCCTGACCCGAGTTACCCCGGATGGTTCGGGGCTCTGGACGCCCGAACTATCCGGGGTAGCTCGGGTCCGGGGTAGGTCGGGTTCGGGATCCCGACAAAACCAACCCGAGTTGGCCTGACCCGAGTTACCCCGGATGGTCGGGGCCTGGACGCCCGAAATATCCGGGGGTAGCTCGGGTCCGGGGTAGGTCGGGTCGGGATCCCGACAAAACCAACCCGAGTTGGACCCGAAATACCCCGGATGGTTCGGGCTCTGGACGCCCGAATATCCGGGGTAGCTCGGGTCCGGGAGGTCGGGGTTCGGGACAGAATCCCGAAAAACCAACTCGAGTTGGCCCTGAAACGAGTTACCCCGGATGGTTCGGGGCTCTGGACGCCGAACTATCCGGGGTAGGTCGGGTTCGGGATCCCGACAAAACCAACCCGAGTTGGCCCTGACCCGAGTTACCCCGGATGGTTCGGGGCTCTGGACGCCCGAACTATCCGGGGTAGCTCGGATCCGGGGTAGGTCGGGTTCGGGATCCCGACAAAACCAACCCGAGTTGGCCCTGACCCGAGTTACCCCGGATGGGTCGGGCCCGAACTATCCGGGGTAGCTCGGGTCCGGGGTAGGTCGGGTTCGGGATCCCGACAAAACCAACCCGAGTTGGCCCTGACCCGAGTTACCCTGGATGGTTCGGGGCTCTGGACGCCCGAACTATCCGGGGTAGCTCGGGTCCGGGGTAGGTCGGGTTCGGGATCCCGACAAAACCAACCCGAGTTGGCCCTGACCCGAGTTACCCCGGATGGTTCGGGGCTCTGGACGCCCGAACTACAACCGGGTCTCTCGTGGTCCGGGTGTATGGTTCGGGTTCGGGATCCGACAAAACCAACCCGAGTAGGCCCTGAGCCGAGTCACCCCTGATGATTCGGGGGCTCTGGACGCCCGAACTATCTGGGATAACTCGGGCCCAGGGCAACTCGGGTTCGGAATCCCGAAGAGCGAACCCGAGTCAGCCCTGACCCGAGCCACCCCTGATGATCCGGGGCTCTGGACGCCCGAACTAGCTGGGATAACTCGGGCCCAGGGCAACTCGGGCTCGGAATCCCGAAGAGCGAACCCGAGTCAGCCCTGACCCGAGTCACCCCTGATGATTCGGGGGCTCTGGACGCCCGAACTATCTGGGATAACTCGGGCCCAGGGTAACTCGGGCTCGGAATCCCGAAGAGCGAACCCGAGTCAGCCCTGACCCGAGTCACCCC